TGTTTTTACTTATGTCCAGCCTAAAACGGTTTTGCAGGAGTTTGAACCTTGTCATCCCCTGGGCTGCTCTGGTGAACAGGTTCTCCCCCAGATCCTGATGCACACCCCTTATGTACTTATAGGCTGCCAAGTCACCCCTGAGCTGCACTTCTCCAGGTTGAAGAGTCCCATAGCTCTCAGCCTCTCTCCATAAGGCCTGTTCTCTTGCCCTCTAATCATTCACATGGCTCTCCTCTGGACTCTTTCAAACTTCTCTATGTCCTTCCTAAATTAAGGAGCACAGAATTGGATGCAGTACTCTAGCTGCAGCCTCACCAAGGCTGAGTACAGTGGGAAGATGACATTCTGGGTCTTGTTTGGGATGCATCAGTAGATGCAAGCCAGAGTTGTATTCATTTTTCCAGCTGCAGTATCACACTGGTGGCTCATGTTCATCATGTGGTCAGTCATGACCCACAAGTCTCTTTCGGTCATGGTGCTAGTGAGTGTAGCATTGCTGAGACTATAAGTGTGATGCGAGTCTTTATTCCTGAGGTGGAGCACCTTGCATTTCTCTGTATTGAATGCCATCAGGTTTTCATCGGCCCGCCTTGGAAGCCTATCAAGGTCGGCCTGGATCACCAGCCTGTCCTCAAGTGTGGACACTCTTCCCCAAAGTTTGGTGTCATCAGCGAACTTGGCCAGTCCGCTTTTGATACTAGTGTCCAAATTGTTTATAAAGACGTTAAAGAGTACAGGTCCAAGAATGGAGCTTTGGGGGATGCCACTGGATACTGAGTACCATGGTGATTCAGTTCCATCAACTACCACACTTTGGATCCGACCTTGGAGCCAATTCCCCAGCCATCAAACTTTGCAGTAGTCGAGGCCGCAGTTGCCCAATTTTTCCATGAGGACATCATGGGACACCAGGTCAAAGGCTTTTTTAAAGTCCACATATATGACACCAACCTCTTCCCTTTTGTCCAGGTGATACGTCACCTGGTCATAGAAGAAAATGAGATTGGTCAAGCAAGACCCTACACACAACAAACCCATGCTGGCTGTCCCTCAGAATGTTGCCTTCTGCTAGCTTGTCTAGAATGGTTTCTTTGGTAATTTTTTCCAAAATCTTCCCAGGGACTGAGGTCAAACTGATTGGCCTATAGTTTCCCGGGTCTTCTTTTCTTCCTTTATTGAAGATGAGCACCACATTGGCCCTCTTCCATTCTTCAAGTATTTTGCCTGAGTGCCCCGAGTTATTGAATATCCTTGCCAGTGGCTGCACTATGATGTCTGCCCATTCCTTTAGCACTCTTGGGTGCAACCTATCCAGACCAGCTGATTTATGGGGGTCCAGCCTCTCAAGATGCTCCCTCACAAGATCCACACCAATAGTGGGCATATATTCTTCCCCACCCTGGTCATCCCACATCATGTTAGGCAGGGTAGTCCCTTTGGGCTGGCACAGAACCAACGCAAATTAATCATTAATCCAATCTAATGCCACTAAAGTATATGTAAAAAAAATCACTACTAGGTTAAATGAGTATTAGATAATGCCTTAAATCTTTACTGATATGTAGTATCCAGTGACTTTTTAAAAAAAATTATCACTCTTCTATGCTAGCTCACTGCTTTTATTTTCTTGTCTGTGCATGTGCACGTGCAGACAATAAGGTTGCTGTAATCACAGTGTTCCATTACTATATAGCTGCTGGTGATGATCTTTGTCTTTGTTTTCTTATGTATCTGTGTAGCATTATCCAACATATGGGATACAGTGGTGAGCAGAGCAGAAAAGATAAGAAACAATTAATTCCAGTCCAGGAAAAACATGGATAACTGAAGCAGGGAAGAAAATGCAACTGCTGCCATATGTGCACAGTCAACTTCTTAATGTGAACAAGGAAAATTTGAGGGCTGCTTTTTAGGTCTCTTCCCTCAGCAATTTTCTTTTTTTTTTAGCTATTCTTTCTTCATTAGCTTTTGTGCATCTTGGCTATTATTTTTCATGTTCTTCTCTGCTTTTTACTTTCTTGGCCACTGTAAATCACTTTTCCTTCCAAAAAATCTTCACCCAATTTGTTTCCCATAACAACAACAATAATAGAAGAGAAATATTCCTTTTAATGGCAAGATTGTGGCCAAAATCTTTCTTCTGGTGCTTGTATGCAACCATCCTTGATTTCACTGGGATTTCTGCTTATATTTCTGAGGGAAAATCTGGCCCTTACCTTCACTATCCACCCAGCAATGTAACTACAACAAGCAACAGCCACAAAACAAAGACATCCCTTAATAATTTTTTTTCAAAAATGAAAGAATGATTTACTATTCTTATTTTTTTTCTTCTAACACTTGTAAAGCTTTCCCTATGCTCTCATATTATGGCTGACCTGACCACTGATCCCTTGTGTATACTCCAGACTGTGAGCGCCTAACAGGGATATCCAGACCAGACTTCCTTAGCCAATAATAGTTGTTCAGTGTCACACCTGTGGCTCTTCATAGAAAATTATATCAAAAGAGTTTTTGTTGTCATTGTTTACTGCATGCATGGAGTATATCTTTCCTGTAATCATGAACAGTGCAATGTATTGGATCTCTTTCTCTCTGTTGCTCATGGTACAGCTATTGCAGGTTTGCAATGTATATTTGGTTAAGACTGACTGTATGGCTCCTGGACTAGTCAGTGCTGAGCATTATTGGGGAAACAAAACAAGGAAATTGTACTATCCTTGTTTTTTTACAACTTTTAATTATGTCAATTTTTTTTGCAGAGCAAAAAGTGCTGTAACACTAAGAAATGTGATCAATCCAGTTTTGTGGGGAAAAAAAACATGTTCCATTGACCAAGGCTTGGCACTAGCAATCAGCAGTTCAGTTCTCTTTCAAGCTCTGTTACCAACTGATTGGGTGATTTTGTGTTAATCACAGATCCCATCTACACCTTGGTTTCTCCTTCCTATAAATGAGGATTATGGTCTCTGTTCTCAGATGTGCCAGTGTAACATGGTGCAGCTGAGACTGGGGAGCTGAAAGGCTTCTTTCTGCTTTGCTTGATTCTGTTTCTGGCTGAGCTCTGAACTGGCTTCTGGCAGTGTAAAAGCTGCTGTATCTTGTGATGCTTGTGATGGCCCTCCAGAGACCATGACACTGACAAAGATCAACAGACCATAGTGTGGTCTGGCCCCAGCCCAACTCATACATTCCTCCCCCTAATGTAAGGGTTTGGCAGATTGCTAGTTTTATGCCCCCTCAGGATTCCCCACATGTTAGTATTAGAAATAGAAATTACCTATTATGTTGTATAGTTCATTCCCTTGCCCACAGAGGGCTATTCCCTATTACTGCATTTAATACTGCTTTGTCCAGCCTTGTTCAGCCTGCAACTCATTTGCACATGAATTCTGATAAAACCAAAAATAAAATGTCTGTTTCCAAATGATTTTGAAAGAGAGAAGAAATCCATAGATAGCTATATCTCAAATCAAAGTATAATCTTTACAAACTGATTTGACAACTGAAAATGCAACAACAGATAAGGAACAAATATTTATGCAGTGTAACTACTTATGGTTGATTTGGCGCTTAATTTTATCCAACCGGTCCACTTGTGCTTAGATATAATGTTGCATTTTGTGTACTATAAATGCTGCCTGGTGTGACTTACTTTTTGGAGACAGTACTGTAATTCATAGTATCATGGCCCAGCATGATGGATCAGCAGAGTACAGTATTCACTGAAAGAGGCAATTCCTCAGTGGCTACTTATACCTATATGTATAACCTTATTTGAGAACAAAATGTTTTTGCTTTCATTTAGTGTGTAGTAACCCTGCTGCTCTGATTATCTTAACTATCACATCAGCATTTGCTTATGTAAATTAGAAGACTGTAGACAGAAAATGCACAGATACTACAAACTTGAGATAATCAATCCTTTCAGAAAGTGAGAGAAACTGTATTATGAAATAGAGCTGTATACTTTTTTTTTTTAACCTCTGATTATTTCATAGCTATATGCTTGTGCTCTATATTACCTTTCTCCTTTTTAGACTCTGGACTTAATATTTGAAGGTAGAAAACCCCAGTAGACTTACTGGTTTTCACAGCCATTATCAACTTGAAAATTTCATAGCAGATGCAGTTTTTTCTCAATTTATGGAGGATAAAGTTTAACCACAAACTTTATGGTTAGGGTCTAAATAGGGCCTTCTGTGTTTTTGCTTTTTCTATCTAGTAACAGAATTAGAAAGCTACTGCCACCTATAGCTACCAGATATTCTCAAGCTACTCCTCTGAAGAAAGGAGCTGCATGTGCAACAGAGACTTCTCAGTATACTAAGAAAACTTGGCAAATAAACTAGCCCATTATACTGAAACTTTGCCCATTGAAATGAAAGACAATCTACTCTCCGTGACAGCCATGGGATAAGCTTAAAACCCTCTGCTCAATGTAACATTTATTTACTGTGTTGGAATATATGCTTGATAAAAGTGCAGAGAATAACTAATGCTTTTTATTATTATTTCTTCCCATTAAAATTGTTAGCTTATTGTTCAGTATTGATATTAAGATTCCTATTTTTAATATTTATTGTAGTAAGAAATTGAATTGTGGAAGAGTGTGGAAAAAGATGACAAAATTTCTTTGTTTCATCAGAAAAAGGTAAATTTTAAAGAAATGTAATTTTCAGCTATTTATAGCTTAATAATAACTGAGTGCATCTACAGGTGTATATTTACTGGGGAGTAACCAAAATTACAATACAGTACAAGTGCAAGTCTACACATGCACGCCTATCCTGCGCAATAAATATGAAAACTTATGCCAACTTGAGCATCATGCAGGTATCAAATTTACACCCAATTAGTTACTGTGCTATTAATTTGAAGTAGGCTTACTGTGTGGTAAAAATACCGTGCAGTAACCCTACCCAGGAGTATGTCTACATATGCTTGGGAGCAGATTTGCTCCTAATAGGAGTAGCCAGGTACAGGACTGTTCCTGCCCTATTCTGCCCCTCTGTAGCAGCAAGGGGGAGCTCCATGCAAATTTGCTCCCAGCCAGCATCTACATATGCACTACTTACTGCACAGTATCTACTGTGCAGTTAGTTTACTACTGGTATTTATGGGTAGTAACTAACTGCACAGAAGAGTAATTTACTGTGCAGTAAATGTGCACACATGTAGATAGTGATGCTGTAGTGCATAAGTCTACTGTACACTAATTAGTACTGTGTAGATTAATCTACTGTACAGTAAAGCATCTCATATAGATACACTCACAGTATGTTCCACACTCAGAAACACAACTGTGAAGACATTCTGGGGTATCAGTCGGTAGCAGCTCTTCAGGCTTTTGTCTCTGGTGTGCTTGAGAGCAACCACTGGGGATAATTCTCAAGGACCCTGACCAATATTCCAAGTCTGGAGTGTGCATGTGAATTGTTTTAGAAGGTGGCCTGTGTGCTCAGAGCAGTCCTCGCCAGGACACCATTGTGGTGTAGACATGTCAAGAGAGACTTCTGAATGAAGCAAAGAGATAGTGTGGCTTCTGGATAGGCTTGCTTCACATGAAAAAGGTTTGGTGCTGTGAACAGGAAAACTGTCTTCTGTCGTTTACTTCATACTCTGCTCAGGAAAGTACATGATTGCATGTAAATAGAATTAAATCAAAGATACAAGACCACCAATTTCTTCTAACTGAAATAACTTAGACCCCACATTTTGGCTAGCTGCTTGGGTCACGAGAGATAACAGTAGCTATGAACTGGCTGACACCTGCTACAGGAAAAAGAGGCATGTTAAATTTAACTCTGATGGCTCAATTGAGTTTTACATAGGCCAAAGTTAACGAAAAACTGTATCCAAAACCTCTAAAAATGACATGGATAAATTCAAACAAATTAAAATTGATCAACTGCAAATTATTATTTTTTTACAAATTATCAAGAAGGTAAACTGACAGATGGAGTACATAAAGATTAACCTATGGCAAGATCCTACAGAATGTAAGGTCCTCTAAAATAAGGATTACGAGGATTCACTAGAAATACTTGAAAAACTTACAGAATTTAATAGGATGGATATCTTTGTCCACCGGTGTTTAGAACCATCCTTTAACATAGTATAAAGGAGAGAGATATTTCTATTAAATTCTAAAATAGATTCCAAACCCAAAGATATCATTTAGTAGGACTTTCTTATAGGGAGTGTGACTACAAATTACTTTTACCTTCTACTACAATATATATCACAAGACACAGTAAATTATAAACAATTACGCTGCCTTTAATTGTCATTATAAATTAAACAACTCTGCATAAGAGCTCTCTACAGCTGTCTATTGTTATGGCAAACCTTTACTGAATAATAGTGGTATTGTTCTATGAATCTTAAGATCATTACATAAGGAAAATTTTGGTGTATGCTAAAAACTAAATGATCAGAATTACATGTGTGAATGCTCCTACTGCATGGCAAATTTAGAATAGCTTATCCCTCATTAAAAATGGATTTACAGTTAGCAGTGTATAAATTTGCATTTGCAGTCTTGATAGATTGGCTGATGTGTTCTAAGTTTGTACTCTGACTTGCCTCATGGTTGTTTGTCTGTTGATTCCTTGAATTAATTTTTCCCAAATAAAATGTTTTTGTGGGTTTTCTTAACTGGAGGTCCAAACTGATACTTTGGCTCTAGGCACAGCTATGCATTAAGTACTTCAGAAATCAAGATAGCATGAGGATATCAAGAAGCTTTTACATTTGTTTTAAATCCTATTATGTTTTCATTATCTTAACAGTGACAATTTGTTAATTTAAGCCTTGATTAAATAAAGTAATTACACTTGAAATAATTTGGTCCTCCAAGCACAGTTTAAATTCCAAGATGAACAGGCCTCATGAGACAACTGAAATGTATGATATGCAGCAGTACTAACTCATTTTGATCTCTTTGCAGGTCCTAGATGCAATAAACTTACTAGACTAGACATACAGACTTCTTTCAATGGTATGAAAATTAACCCAGGCACATCAGCTGCAGGAAATCTTCAAAGGTACAGAAATCAAACATTTAACCAGCAATTAATTAAACCAAACAAGCCATCAGCATGTGCTGCTTAGCCTATGTATTAAGTTAGGTCTATAATGAAGCTATAGTAAATCTCCTGGAGGTTCTATCCTGTCAAACTTTAAAGCCTCACGGCTAAGCTGAGGATCCTTAACTTTTCAGAGATCCAGTCAATGATTTCACAAGATTGCTGAGCTGTTTCTTCTATTTAACATTATTTTCAATACATTAGAATTTTTTTTCAACAGTAACGTGAGAAAAAAGTGCTTCTCTAATTCTTCTGAAAACAAGTATTTTAGAGGCCAAGGAAAGTCATGTTAAGATCAGAGGGAACTTTAAGAAAAAGGTTTATATCCAACAAAAGTAATGTTTGGAGTTTCTTTCCTTCATTTGTGTTTGAATTTAGTGATCATAAAAGCAAATTGCCAACTATGGTGCATTCAGACACTATGCAAGCTATCCCACATAGCTCTGCCAGTGAAATCCAGATCTGATCTGCAATATTTCTGTCATTTCAAAGGCACTGCTGACTTTTAGACCTAATCTGTCAGTTGACAACAAGTTGTGTGGTGGTTTTGTTATGTGGCAAAATAGGCATAAAGGGACCAAGATAAACCTGATCATATTTCTCACCCCTCAAAACCTCATTTCTCAAAAGCAAAGCACAGACTAAAACGAGAGCCACATGACAAATTACAGCGCAAAAAATTAAAAATGCTCTGAGTTTTATTCCTTCAGCATCCATAACATTTTCTGTCACCTCAATTTCATGATGCAACACTTCTGGTAAAATAATCTGTACACGTATATCTATGAGATAATATAACGGTTATATTTTAGAATATGGATTTATTTTACATGTGGCAGAAATCTGTATATAAGTCCCTTTTTTAGCAATACCAAGCTAGTGCATATAGTGGTCTCTGATGAAGGTCTTGTTTACATCTGACTTATATTTATGCTGTTAACTAATGATACATTTTCAAAAAAAATAGATTGGCTACATTTTATAACAGTTTTAAGGGAGGGAAGAAAGTAGTTAGCCAGGCCAGTGTAAAATTAGGCAAAAGGAGGGATGGCAGTACCTGATAGACTAATTGGTTCAGAAAGACATGAGCTTTCATAGGCTGTAGTCTACTTTGATGAAAGCTTGTGCTTATCTGAATGAGTTACTCTATAAGGTGCCATATTGGCCTGTTTTCTGCTCGTTATAAAGGGTATAAAATCTTCAGCCAGTTACATCCCTCATTTTGTTGATCATTTTCTTTTTAAAAAGTGGCTTGTCTAATGAAGTATGCTTTGGTTTGCTGCTCTGGTTCTGATAGGAGAGGATTTCTAGTTTTCTTACTTGTTTTTAACTGATAATGAAAGACAATATATTCTTCAGTGACAAGATTTAGGGGAAACATTTTGAACAACTCTTTCAGACAAACATCTAATCCTGATTTAAAAATCTCTTTTAGTGATGAAGAATCAACTATAGCCTGTGTTCCAGTGGTTCATTACCTTTACTGTTAATTTTACATGGGCCTTATTTCTAGTCTGAATTTGTCTAATTTGTCTAATTTCAACTAGTCATTATATCCCACTGGTCTCCAAACTTTTTTGATCGTAAACCCCTATCAGTAAAAAAATTTTCAGCACGCACCCCCAATATATATATATTTATATTCACATACCCCTATCAGAAAAATTTTTTGAGCACACCCCCCCAATATATGTAATTTTGTATTTGCGCACCCCAATCAGTAAAAAATGTTTGAGCATGCACCCCCAATATATGTATATTTATATAAATATAAATAAAAGCTCTAATATTTTCTTCCTGCACCCCAATGGATCATCTTGCGCACCCCCTGGGGTGCACACACCCCACTTTGGAGACCACTGTTATATCCCATCATAACTTTGTCTGATAGACTGAATAGCTCCTATTATTAAATTTATTTCCCTTGTACAAGTACTTCTAGACTGTGATTAAGTCACCCTTTAACATTCATTTTAAACAAAACAGATTTAACTCTTCAGTTTGACTATAAGTGCTTTTCAGCCCTTTCATCATTCTCAAGATTTTTCTTTGTACCTGGAAGTAGCCCTGCTATTTCTGTAAGTCATACAAGTCCCCAGAGTGGCTGTTATATAACCTCCTCATTCTTACTTGATAGGACCCTGTTAGAATCATAGAATCATGGCAAATTAGAGTTGGAAGGGACCAAGGGAAGTCATCTAATCCAACCCCCTGCTCAAAGCAGGATCATCCCCAATTATATCATCCCAGACAAGGTTTGTCTGGCTGAGTCTTAAAAACCTCTGAGGATGGAGCTTCCAGAGCCTCTCTGGTATCTGTTTCAGTGTTTACTACCATTCTAATTAGAATTGTTTTTCCTAATATCTAACCTAAACTTCCCTTACTGCAACTTGAGACCATTTCTCCTTGTTCTGTCATCTGCCACCACTGAGAACAGTCTAGCTCCATCCTCTTTGGAACCACACTTGAGGGTAGTTAACTTGCTGTTAAATCCTGCCTCAGTCTTCTCTTCTCCAGACTAAATAAGTCCAATTCCCTCACCCTTTCCTCAGAAGTCATGAGCCCCAGCCCCCTAACCCATTTTTGTTGCCCTCTACTGGACTCTCCAATTTGTCCATGTCTCTTCTGTAGCGGGCAGCCCAAAACTGGACACAGTGCTCCAGATGTGGCCTCACCAGTGCTGAACAGAGGGGAATAATCACTTCCCTTGATCTGCTGGCCACATTCCTACCAAAGCAACTCCATATGCCATTAGCCACCTTGGCAACAAGAGCACTTGTTGGCTCATATTCAGCTTCTTGTCCACTGTTCATGCATCCAAGGTTTATATTAGATCCTTTAGCTATAGTATTTCACTGGGAACTCCTGGTCAGCTAATCACCCCAAATCCTTTTCTGAGTCACTGCTTTCCAGAATAAAGTACCTTATTCTGAAACTACGTTGATTATATTACCTCTAATTTTGTTCCTAGATATATAACTTTGGCCATATTAAAATGCAAATGTTGCAATGAAAATGTGAGTCAGCAATATAACTACTTCTCAGAAGTTGTTACATCAACTACTTCATTTGTCAGTCCAGCTTGTAAAATCATCCAAATATTGAACTATCATTTTTTATCACATACAGCTTGCACCTTCTCCCCCCAAATGAGCCCCCCAATACTGGGGTGTGTGTTTTAAGTGGGGAATCTGTATTCTTCACTGGAAAAGAAGTACTCATGGAGATGCTATTTCATGCAGCTGCCAAGATGACTACTACTTGTGTTGGCTCCATTTACCAATTTTAAATGTTGGAATAATATTAATTTTCTTCTAGTCTTCAGGAACTTGTTGCCAAGAATTTTAATCTGGATTTGCTGTCTAACTTTAATAGTTGCTGATTAACATCCTCTTTAGTTTCAGTTAGAATGGAAGGAATTCATTTTCATACAATATGAATAGATTGCTCATTTTTTAACAGAGCAATCTCTTAAAATGTCCTGTAGGTACCTTCTTTGCAACTGTTTGGTCAAAATGGGTTTTGTGTGTGTTTTTCATTTATGTGGTCTTGGATACATCTACATGAGATGCTGCTTCACTGTAGCGATGAGCTATGTTGCCATAGTTCGTTGCTATGGCAACATAGGGTCAGAAATGACCCGCACGCAACTGGGACTGTGCAGTACTGGCGAGTACTATGCTGTCATTTAGTACTTGCTTTAACTAAATAACAGCGCAGCCCCAGTCAGGGGCACATGTAGACATGCCCCTAGTATAGTAAATTGCTATTGCTATGTATTTGGCCAATACAAAAAGCAATTCACTGTAGACCAGAGGTGGACAGAATATGGCCCACCAGGCCATTCTATCCAGCCCGCAGGGCCCCTAAAAAATTAGTAAATTAATATTTATTTGCTCCTGGCTGCCAGTCAAAGCTGACAGGAGCCAGGGGCTGTAAGACCCAGGGGGAGCCGTCAGCAGAACTGAGCAGTCCAGCCCTGCCCACCCCCAGCCATTTTACACTCTTCCTGCCCCCACCCTGCTTTGGCAACACGTGACTCCCAGCTGGACTGGGGAGCACGGGGCCGTGCCAGTACATCTGTGTGTATGTGTGTCTGTGTGTGCAGGCAGAAGCAAAGTGTCTGTGTTTGCGTGTTCAAAGGGTGAGTCCCACACATACACCACACCATAAACATGCACCCATACCCCCCTCGCACTGTCATACATGCAGACCCCCACACCCCCCATACACCCCAGCCACCCTCCACCCACACACTTCCCCCTACAAACCCCATACCCACCCATACCCCACATACCCACACACTCACAGCCCACCACAAACCTATATGCATGCCCCATGATGTACAAGAGTAAGACTTCATTTTAAGTTATTGTGTGATCACCTCTATGTACACTACACAAACACATGTGAATTAGGACAAGAATATTTTTTTAAATCAAATTAATGAATGCTGTAAACGTTTGCTTTTTAGAATATAATCTGGCATTTTTCTGGTTCTGAAATGGCAAAACCCCTTGCTGAAAGGAGTGCTTCCCAGGACAAGGGGAGGGAGTTTGGGTGGCAAAGGTCAGGGGTTAGGGGGTGGGACTACCCATACAGCCCTTGACAGCTTGCCCAGACTCAGTAAGCCACCCTTCACCCAAAATAATTGCCTGCCCCTGCTGTAGACCATACTGATAGATATTTCTCAATTAGTAATGAAGTGATGAAAACACTTGATAATACTCAGAAGGCTAAGGTAGAAGATATTAGTTGCAAAAAATGAAAAAGAAAATAGTTATGATGTATCCAAGTTTCAAAGTGTACATAAGGGTTCCAGTTTCAAATTCTGCTTTTTGGTGTTAATTTCCAATTGATGAATGGGTGACCATTTTGAATCAAAGAAGAGCTTCTCTCACTAATCTTCCCCAACCCTAATTACATTTTTTCAAGCAAATCAAAACTACATTCTTGTT